ACTGTTTAATGAGTATAGAGTTTCAATTTGGTGATGGTGGCCATGTTAAAGCAATGTGAATGTACTTAATGCTTTGAACTATACACTTAAAAATGGTTATCATGGTAAATTTGATTATGCATATTTTACTACAGTTTAAAAATGATTAAAAACTCTTTTCCCCAATTTTCAAAGAAAATTCCTCAATCTCTTCCACTTTATTTATTTATTTGAGATAGAGTCTCCCCCTGTTGCCCTTGGTAGAGTGCTGTGGCATCATCATAGCTCACAGCAACCTCAAACTCGTGGGCTCAAGCAATCCTCTTGCCTCAGCATCCAGAGTAGCTGGGAATACAGGCATGTGCCATGATGCCCAGCTAGTTTTTATATTTTTATTAGAGATGGAGTCTTGCTCTTTCTCAGGTTGATCTCAAACTCCTGAGCTCAAATTATCCTCCTGCCTCAGTCTCCTGGAATGCTAGGATTACAGATGTGAACCACCATGTTTGGCCTTTTCCCACTGTACTTAAAATGTTTGTTACTACCTATAGCTTACCTGTTTCCTAAGACAAACAGAAGGCAAAATAAATGAACAGGCAGCATATGAACATCAGTGACATATTCTGAGACTCACTAGCCATGCATCATTTGGCAGCTTTGTGAGTATACACATGCTCATGGCTATGATTTTTATTCTAGACTTTCCAAGAAAATTTGTTTCATGGTGTTTTGAAACATAAAAATTACCCTTAAAACAAATAAACCAACCCACAGTCATCCAGTGCCCCTTTACCCACAGTTTGTCAATCACTATATCCAGGAAATCTACTTTAATGGCTCTCAGCTGTGCAAAAGTGAAAGGTTGTACTAATAAGTTTCATTTCAACAAGACAAAATATCACTTCCTAAGAACAAGGACTGCCATATTTGGAATAAGGATGCCTAACCAAAGTTATAACATTCAGATAGCAATTCCAAATACATGATTTCATCTGAACCTCATGACTGCTCCATGAGGTAGGTTTTAGTATTGTCAAATTTAAAAATAAGCACACAGTTTAAGAGATTTGACCAAAATCACCAAGTGGCTAGAACCCAGCTCTTACAAGTTCAAATTTATTTTTATATTTCCCTAAATCTTAAATTTAGCTGTCTAGTCGAAGGCTTTATTGGTCTGAAAACTGTCCCAGAGACAAAAGAAACACTCACTGCTTGAGGAAATCAGGTGTAAGGAATGTGTGGCCTTGCACAGAGCAGCACTACAGCCTCACTCCCTCACCCACAAAATCAGGGTGTTACCTGACATACAGATACCACTTGCCCCTCGTTGGTATCTGCAAGCTCAAAGGAAAGTATATGTGAAAGCATTTTAAAAGTATAAATTAAAAATGTTAGGTCACTGGAAGGCATGGCTTCCAGGAGACACAGATTCCGTGATTCTTATCAGGATGGTCAGTGTAGGAAATGGGCATGTGGGCAATATAAACAAATGAACCAACTAACCAACAAACAACCAACAAGTCTGAATGGTCCACGGTAGGCTGGAGGTGTGACAGAATGCCTCTTAGGGGGAAAAAACAAACTTGCAGTTTGCCCAGGTCCCAGAGAAACAATGAACCCTAAGCCCTTTCCTCAGTCAGCATTTTAAGATGCTCAGAAAGGACACGGGGCAGGCCTTGATGAAGGACTATTTAAATGGATGTGCTAGGGGCTAAATGTTAAATAAAACAATCAAAGCCACAGTGGTAACAAACTTGGCCCATTTCTGGAGGGTACCATGAGAGGATGGAGCTGAGGAAGCTGCTGAGCCCAACCTGCTCAGGGGTTGGCAACTTTCTGACATATGGTCTGTGCCTATCTCTATTTGCCCTCAAAGAGTGGGTGGGAGGTTTGGTAGAGGTGGTGGAGGCACAGAGGGAATGCCATGGAGCCAGAAATGTGGTGTCTAGGACAGAAATGGATGGTAATGGGATCACCGAAAGGCTTCCAGACTCAGGTTTTATTTCAATCTTCCATCTGTCCTGCAAATATTCACTGAGTGCCAACTATGCCAGGCAGTGTTCTTGGTACTGGAGATACATTGGTAAAAGAGACATGGCCTCTCTCAGGACATGGACATTCTGATGAGGAAAGACAATGATCAAGTAAGATCAATGTCCCAATGAATACTATGAAGAAGCCAGCCAGGGGGTGTGACTGAGAGTGCATGTGGGACCACATTGGGCCTTTTGGAGAAGATGGCATTTAAGCTGAGACCCAAACGTCAAATGACACAAAGGAGCAGAGCTGAAGGAAAAGCTTTCTAGGCAGAGTATCAGCAAGTGCAAAGGCCCTGAGATGGGAACAAACCTAGTCTGCTGGAGGAAAGACTAGGGAAGTGTCCTGTGAGCTAAAGTTAGAGGGTAGCCAAGGGCACTCCAGTAGGGCCTTGTAGGTTACAGTAAGAGGTATGGATTTCATGCTCATGCAGTGACATGATAATTCACTGGATTACAAAGGTTAATGGTGGAATTTATGTTTTCAACAGATAAGGCTGTCCTGACAGATAAGAAAGCAACTAAGACACTCCTGCAATTAAATTAAATGTTCCTTTTAATAGATTTTCCATGGAAACCCAAGAGAGGTCATGGCTTAATTGGTATTAAAGTGTAGCAGGAATGTACCAGAATAAGAAAAGTATGGAGGATCAGAAGACAGGCAAGATGACAATAAGGAAGCAGGACAGCACTCAGCTGGTCCTGTTGGCTCCAGACTTGTCTCCACAGCCTGAAGCCCGTCTGCTGAGCCACCTGACTCATACACCTGGTTTCCGAACCCTGAAGCAGAGGATCCAGCTACAGAACACAGCTCCTTGCCTATGGGCTCTCATTCTCTGTGCTGTGCAAAAAAGGTCATCCTTCCGGCTTCTATGCAAGACAAGAACCTGAAGGGGTATCAAAGGGAGAATGTCTCTATAACCCCTTTCCCTCGCTGATCCCATGACTGCTACAACAGGAAGACAAGAGGTAATTAGGCCCCAGCTTGAGTTTATAGCCCCCACCTACCAACCCTGTGTTCAAACTTGGCTTTTGTAAGTATTGCTAAGCATACCTGAAGGGTGCCAAAAAGGAAAGGATTTCTGTTTGATTCCTTTCTTCCCTTTTTTCTTTAACTACTCTGTACTGAATCATTCCTTGGTAAATTTTAGGTATTTTTGAGATATATCCAGGTCTAGTAAGCTTTAAAGTTACACAGTACTACCCAATTAAAGAAAGTATTTAATGCTTCTTAGAAAAGTCAACAAATTATCTTTAAATGTCCCCCCCCCCAATCCTGAAGGCTATTGTCCATTGCCCCAAAGTTCTACAAAACAAAACAAAACAAAAAAACACCTGTTTTGATACCCTGGCTGTGGTCTGCCTTAGTCAAGAAAGGATTATGAACATCACAGTCACTTCCAATCTTGAGGCAACAGAGATGAGTCTCACTCTGTCACCCTTGGTAGAGTGCCATTGTGTGACAGCTCTTAGCAACTTCCAACTCTTGGGCTCAAGCAATTCTCTTGCCTCAGCCTACCAGGTAGCTGTGACTACAGGCGCCCACCACAATGCCCAGCTATTTTTAGAGACAGGGTCTCACTCTTGCTCAGGCTGGTCTCAAACCTGCAAACTCAGGAGATCTACTCACCTCGGCTTCCCAGAGTGCTAGGATTACAGGTGTGAGCCACTGTGCCTGGCAATTTTTACCATTTTTAAAGAGAAGAAAAAAAACCAAGGTGGCTCAGGGCCTGTAGCAAGTGGCTAAGGCGCCAGCCACATACACCTGAGCAGGTGGGTTTGAATCCATTCTGGGCCTACCAAACAACAATGACAACTACAACCAAGAAACAGCCAAGTGTTGTAGTGGGTGCCTGTAGTCCCAGCTACTTGGGAGGGTGAAGCAAGAGAATTGCTTAATTCCAAGAGTTGGAGGTTGCTGTGAGCTGTGATGCCACAGCACTCTACCCAGGGTGATAGCCTGAGGCTCTGTCTAAAAAAAAAAAAAAAGAAAGAAAGTAGAAAACCAAGCTTATTCTATCAGTTCAAGATCAAGAATTCGCAGGCGTGGGGCCTACGGCTCAAGGGAGTTAGGGTGCCAGCCCCACATGCCGGAGGTGGCAGGTTCAAACCCAGCCCCAGCCAAAAACAAAACAAAACAAAACAAAAAATTGGCAGGGATAACAATGCGGAAAAAGGAAACTTTCAGAAGCAAAATGATCACCAGCTGCTTCTAGGAAGTTGCAGGTGCATCTATCTCCTTTTTTGAAGAGACTGACAAAAAAGAGAAAGGGCAGCTTCTGTTCTCCAGAACACCTCCCCACCAAAAGACAAGTACAGGAAGGGAGCAGGAAGGGAAATCTTTAGCATTCATGAAGTCTTAGACCTCTTATTTAAAAACTGGGATATGGCAGACTAACAAGGGTATGTGAACTCCTGCGGTACCTAGAACTCTCTTCACTGATGAAAAGTCAAGCCCTGAGCCTGGAAGGAAACTCAGGCCCCCCGATTCACATTTCTATCAATCTTTATTATTTTTAGTATTTTTATATTATAAATGTATATTACAGAAAAATAAGTCCTGGATAGGAAGTCACTCACAATCTCATTATTACTCTATGGCCACTATTCATGTGTTATTCCTTTTATCATATGCTTATAGATAAGTGTTTCTCTCCCCACACTGTTACAATCATATTGGAGTAATGTTCTGTTCAATATAAAGACCTTCACATTACCAGTAATATAATCAGGATGAAGAACGGAACACTGATATGATATGGCAAATGATTTGGTATAACCCAAACTGAATCTTTGGTAAGGGCTGGTACCCTCTAAGACAAGTTTGCCCTTCTTATTGAGACACAGTAATAATACATAACAGCACCCTACAATTCAGGCTTAAAATTCAGATCTTTTCCAGGGAGTATTTAAAACAGAACTCTTCAGGGTTCCTGGGACAGAAGAACCAAGCTGCTTAACCTCAGATCACTTCTATTCACCTACCTGGTGCATCAGGTACTTGAAGAGGAATGAAAGGATCAGATACGCTCAGAAGTGGGAGGCCAGAGTCCACAGTCTGCCCACCCTTCCTTTTTTCAGCTGGAGTTGGTTGGAGGAGAAGGAGAGGTCAAGAGAGAAAAAAAGAAAAGCAAAAAACATCAAGTAAATCTAGAGGAGGAGTTTACCATCTTTTCATCTAACTGCTCTAACTACAGAGTAAGTCTAAACTCAGAATAATGTGGGCTGAGTGGATATAACCCAATGCAACAGCAAAGCATCAGATAGATAAAGTGGTCCTTGTCACATACTATGAGATGGAATTAATGATAAAACCAGGATATTTATATATCTGAAATTCTTCTTCCTTGGATACTACAGTCTATACTGATATTGATCTCATCCGGAATTCCTATGGGAATTACTGTCTATGGCAAATACTTCGGCATGTAAACAAAACACTGTCTGTTCTGTAACCTAGCACCTGTGTATACAGGTACTTCCTGTGTACCTATCACCCTCTTGAGGTCCCATGGGGACTTAAAGTCCTATTACATCATCACAACATCTAATATGATATAAGGCATAGGAAGAGGCACACAGGAAGAGGCAGAAAAAGACTTCTTGCCTATTGCAAGGTCAGATAAGCCCTAGCCTCTCAACTACATTTAACATACTACTGGCAGTCATTCCATATTTGGAAAATTACAGATGTACAGAAATGTACACCTTGTGAAATGTCAGAGCTTGAAAAGAGCTTAGAATTTTCTAGCACAATTTCCTTATTTTCTAGAAAGGAAAATGAAGCCCAAAAGTTGAAAGACAAACCAGAGGTCCATCAGCAGAAAGAGGGTCAGAAGCCGGGTCTCACTTTCTATTTTACCATTCTTTACATTGTATTTTAGTATTCTGTTTGTTCATTAATTAAAATCTCATTTTGCCTCCTATAAAGTAGGTTTTAAAAAAATATTTTAGTTTGAAATAATCATAGAATTCAAAAAGTTGCTCTATATAGAGTCCAGTGACCCCTCTAGCCAGCTTCCCCCATGACATCTTATGCAATAGTAGTACAATATCTCTGATACTGGTATGACACTGCGACCTAGATGATGCAGTTTTCACCAGTTTTTATGTGCACCATTTGTGCATATGTGTGCATAGCTCTCTTCACTTCACTAGTGCCCATGCCATCCACACCTCTGTCTCCATCACAGCCACTACAGTCCTACAAGTAGGAGCATCCCCTCCTCCTGCTCTATTCTGTCTTCACTTCACCCCAGTCACATCTCCCTGTCTCTTTCCCGGACACCTCTTTCTCAAAGCCCCCTGAATCCCTCCTTCTCGACCTGAGTGGCACAAAGTTGAATGTGCAAGAGCTGAGGCCCAGTATCCCCTCTACTAACACTCCTGGCATGGGTCATTGGATATAGGACATTTCTCTTCATCTGTGTGGGCCCCCATTCCATCTGTAAAGTGGGTTTGCAGAGGAATCAAAGTACTGGACATGTATAGGCATTATGGGCGGCATCTCTGGGCACCTGGCTCTGATTTCTTTCTCTCCCTGCTCTGACTCTGCCTATTCCTGTCTCTTGCTCTCTCTCTTTCTCTCTCTCTCACCAGCTTGACCTCTGGTATGAGCAGGATCCTCTGGGGTCTATCGAGCAGCTGTGAATAGGAGAGTTTCTTACCTCCACTCCATCCATCTTATTCCATGTCTCTCCTCGCTGGAAGTCTGACTGGGCCTCCTTCTCCCCTGCTCCTCTCCCAGTGAAAGCCTGAGCCCCAGGTCCTTGCTCTCCTCTACCCAGTGTTCTGCATCCCTTGGATTTGGCCACTGCCATGTGCCCACTTATGCCATCCCCAGTGCCACCTCCTCGGGCCGAGCAAGATGCAGTTTGTGCTGCATGACAATGTGAAAAGCAAAGGTGGAATTGCTGGATGGACCAACAACCTTTCCATCTGGCTTCAAAGACACACAGTGCTTGTTTCAACCCAGCAATGTGGGAACCTAGCACCCCAGACCCAGAATTGAAGGAGGCACTCGTGGTGCCTACTCTTCCTCAGGTGTGCCCCCCATCCCAAGGGATGTGCAAGAGGCCAAGGCAATGGGGGCAGACTGGGGTGTTGCTGCCCAAGTGTGGCAGAAAGGAAGAGGGAGGTGCAGTGGCATCCTCTTGGTAGGCAGCCCAGTGGTGCTAGAGAAGGGTAGCAGGGGTGCAGGAGGCCAGGAGGCACTTTGAGGCTACTGCTGAGCACCCTCCACCTCTCTGCAGCCACATCCTACCCAGTGACCACTCGGCCCCAGCAGCTGCTACCACATTTAGCCTAGGGACTGGCACATGGGATTCACAGGCTGTGAGTGCCTGCCCTGGTAGGGTGAGGGGAGGGCAGCTCACTACTCACTCCACTCCCACCTCCCTTCCCTGGATTGTGAATTCCCACTACCTCTCACACCTTCCTCAGATTCCAGCACTTCCTAGGATCCTGACTTCACACCTTCCAACACTCAACTTCCCCTCAGGCCCTCAACTTCCCTCCTATGCCCCCAACTTTCATGGTGGTCCACAACTCCCCTGTCAAGCCCTAGTTCCCAATCTCTAAACCATCTTCTCCTGAGACCCTTAAATCCCTCTGGAACCCTTACTTCACTTCCTCCAACCTGTGTATATACTAAATAGTTCTCTGCAGTTTGAGTCCAGGCAGAGATTAGCACAGGCTCCACCACACTCATGACACAGAGCTGCTCATCACACAAAAGGCCGACCTCATCCCGCTCCTTTACCATCACACTCACCCTGCTTCTATTCTTTGGAACCACTAATCTGTTCGCAATCTCTATAATTTTGTTATTATATTAAAGTGAGTTTTTAACTAAGTTCTTTTAAAGGAAGAAGGAAGAAAAGAAATGTAGTCACTGCTTTTAAGTCTCTAAAGTATTTTAAAATAAAACATGTTTGAAAGAAAAGAGAAAAAATTACAAACTGAATATATAGCATGTAGTGTTGGAAAAAACTTTATATGCAGAAATAAAATTCTAGATATAAATACTGTAAAACGTCAGCAAATCTGTACTTCTTTCCGAGTGGAATCACGAGTTCTTCTTTCTCCACCCTCTGTTTATTTGGGCTTCTTTTCACTTCTCCAGATTTTCACAAATGAATGTATATAACTCATCAACAGGAAAACATTTCAAATAAAGAGGTACAATGTCAAGCTTTAACTATTTGCCTGTTCTTGCTCTAATCTACAGACACATGTCATCAATATTTTTGCAGGTTTTTCCATAAAATTTTTTAAAAGAAACCTTGTGCCATCCTTCCCTACCCATCACAAAATTTCCTGCTTAGTTTCTCCTTTGATTAGTCAGAAGGTTTAAAATCTATACTCAGTCTGAGCTCAATTTGGAAATTTATTGAAAATGGTATCATCCATCCTTCACTTTATACAAACAAGGGAAAGTAAGTTTCTGGGATCTATGTATAATTATCTGACATTTATAAAGAACGACAATGTTACAGAAATAAAACATACTACAAAAGAGAAAGAAGAGAAAACACCAAATATTTATAGAGAAATACTGAATGAGCTGAGGAAAATATGAAGACATTTTGTAATGTTTATAAAAGCTTAGTGTTACTGATTTACAAGATTCCTGAGATGTGGCTACAACAGTTGCTAAGCCGGGCTGCCCAGGCACCAGTCTCTATTCTGCATCCTCCAGCTGTGACCTTGCGCAGGTGGGAAGTTATAAAAATCACCTGAGACAATGTGCGAAAAAAATCACTTACCTAGTGGGCTTAGCATGTACCACATGCTCGATACATGTTCACTGTTAGCACTGTCCTAACTTTACGGGTCTGTAGCTGGGCCTTTAAGTTCCTTAAAAAAAATAGACTGCCATTTGTAGCCTTCAAAGTAAATAAAAAGAGAGAAGGCAGGAACAAAAATAACACAGAACTTTTAAAAAAGCAGTTCACACAGACAATGACACGTGACGATGTGTGATAAATGAGAATTAGGCATTATAACTGGGCGTGGGAGGGTGAACAGGTAGAAAATGATTAGGGACCTCTGCTGTTATTAATAATACTGGTGAATCCAAGAGCCTATGTTTTGGCAAAGAGCAACCCTTCTCATTTATTCAACAAATCTGTACTGAGTCATCAGCAGCAAAGAAAGCTCTCCCAGAGTTTATTCTAGAACACTCTTTCCAGAAAATCTAGATCCTACTCAGGGCCACAGTTGGTCATGATTTTGACATTCTATCTCAAGGACAACAGTCAGTGCTTTACATATTTGATATATTTGGTCAACTATGTGACATATCAAACTTCAAGCACCACAAACTGATCTTGGAACATTTTTGGGGAGGGGTGCCCTAAGGCTGGGTTTGAACCTGCCACCTCTGGCATTTGGGGCTAGTGCCCTACCCTTATAAGCCACAGGCACTGCCCTGATCTTGGAACATTTTTAACCCTGACCAAAAATATCAATAAATTTTAAATTTACACAGACTACACAAGAAGTTAAAAATGAAATTTTAACTATAATACTTGCACACAATTTCCAAGTAACTCCAAAATAATAATAATGAGAATATCGTATGAAGACTCACTAGCTCCATACAACTCCAATTTTTTCCAATTAGGAAATTCACACTTACTAGAAAGCACTATCAAAAAACAGTGTAATCAATCCTCAAAGGTTGAGGTGGGGCAGTTGGAGAAAGAAAGAGAAAAGAAGACACATATATATTTGAGTATCTTCATGTGAAAAAGCCTTCCTAAAGGTTATAATTAGCCTTTTCCCCACCCCTGTGCTGGTTGAAAATGACCCTTACATTGAGAGAAAAACTCATAGCCTAAATACTTTCTTTCTAAAAAAGAATTTTTTGTTGTTGTTGTTGTTGAGTGTCTCACTCTGTTGCCCAGGCTAGAATGCTCTGGCGCCAGCCTAGCTCACATCAATCTCAAATTCCTGGGTTCAAACAAGCAATCCTCCCGCCTTTCCTGAGCAGCTGGGCTACAGGCACCTGCCACAACATCCAATAATTTTTCTATTTGTAGTACAGATGGGGTCTCGCTCTTGCTCAGGCTGGTCTCAAACTCCTGAGCTCAGAACATCCTCTCACCTTTGGCCTCTTAGCGTGCTAGTATTGCAGGTGTGAGCCACCATGCCTGGCCTTGTAAGAAAAATTTTTAAAAATTTACTATGTATTCTTCTTATATTACCAAAGCAAACCTAAGAAAATAGAGAAATGTAATAAAAATAAAAGCAAAAGTTAAAGAAGACAGAAAAAACTATAGATTTTACAAATCTAAGAGTTGTCTTAAAAAGACAGAAATTTCTAGGTATATTTACCAAGAAAAAGAGAAACACAAATACATACAATTAAAATTGATGTACCCAGAGAAAATATCATAAAAGATCTATGTATATTGTTCTATATCAATGTAAAAAAATTTTAAATAGCAGGTGATTTTCTAGGAAAAAATAATTACTAATTATCTTCGCTTAATGAGGCAGAAAACCTGATGAGAAGGTTTTGGAGCCAGAGAGCAAATGTCCCAGCTGTGTTCCTTGCTAGCAGGTGATCCTGCAAAAGAGACACTCTGTGCCTTGTCAGTTCCCTCCACTGTAATCATCAGGAGGATGACACATCACCCTCATAGAGCTGTTGAGAGGGTTAGATGGGTCATACTCACAGCACAAATGACAAATTTGGAAAAATGTTTACAATACATGACGTATGAAGAACTCTTACAAATTCACTTTAAAAAGGCAAAGAACACAAATGACAGAAACCCCCAAAGAAATAAAAATGCCTAGTAAATAATGTCCTTGATCTATAGCCTCTGGGCTGAGTGGGGAAAATGGCAGGGAAAATGCTCTCATTCACTATTTTTTTTTTTTTTTTGAGACAGAGTCTCACTTTGTTGCCCTCTATAAAGTGCTATGGTGTCATAGCTCACAACAACCTAAAACTCTCGGGCTTAAGTGATTCCCTTGCTTCCACCTCTCAAGTAGCTGGGACTACACCCACCACAATGCACGGCTATCTTTATTTATTTATTTATTTATTTATTTTTTAGACAGAGCCTCAAGTTATCCCCCTGGGTAGTGTGCCATGGCATCACAGCTCACAGCAACCTCCAACTCCTGGGCTCAAGCAAGTCTCCTGCCTCAGCCTCCCAAGTAGCTGGGACCACAGGTGCCCGCCACAACGACCGGCTATTTTTTGGTTGCAGCCGGCATTGTTGTTTTGGCAGGCCCGGGCTGGATTCAAACCCGCCACCTTAAGTGTATGTGGCTAGCACCTTAGCCACTTGAGCCACAGGCGCTGAGCCTTTATTTATTTTTTTAAGACAGAGTCTCACTTTGTCACCCTTGGTACCACATAGCTCACAGCAACCTCCAACTCTTGGGTGAAGCGATTCTCTTGCCTTAGCCTCCCAGGTAGCTGGGACTACAGGTGCCCTCCACAACACCCGGCTATTTTTAGACTAGGTCTTGCTCTGGCTCAGGCTGGTCTTAAACTCGTGAGCTCAGGCAATCTGCCTGTCTCAGCCTCGCAAGTGCTAGGATTACAGGCATGAGCCACCATGCCTGCCTTCTTATTCACTATTGATTGAAATAAAATTTATATAGATTTCTTGGAGGCAAATTTGGAAATATGCATCCAAAGCCTTAAAATATACATATCTTTGATTTTGCAAATAGTCTCCTAGAAATTATCTTAGAGCAAATATAAAGAATATATACAAAAATTTATCTTTAAGAATATTTATAGGTAAAAAATTAATAAACCAAATACTCATAAAAGATGTTAAATAAATAATTCCATAAAAAATCATGTTGCAGATTAATGTTCATTGATATGAAAACTACTAATTCCCAGAGGATGTTTATAAAATGAATCACAAACTGGGCCTTCAGTAATAACCTACAGCAAAGACTGTATAAACCATGCGGGTCCCAATAAAGTGAAGATATATCCTAAAAAACACTTGGTTAAAGAAGAAATTGAAACTTCAATTTTAAAATATCCAGAAAACAAGGAGAATACAAAAGGATTACATATCAAATGTTATGTAATGGCAGTCAATGTTCTAATCAGAAATAAATACTATTCACATGCCTAAAGAAAATAGGCAGAAAGAATACAAGATTAAAAGCAGGGGGCGAGGCACAGTGGCTCACACCTGTAATCCCAGTACCTGGGAGGTCAATGCAGTGGATTGCCTGGGCTCACAGTTGGAGACCAGCCTGAGCCAGAGTGAGACCTCATCTATAAAAATAACAGGCATTGAGGTGGGTGCTTTTAGTTCCAGCTACTTGGGAGACTGGGGTAAGATAATCACTTGAGCCCATGGTTTGAGGTTGCTGTGCGCTATGACGGTGCTCTACAAAGGGTGACAAACTG